TTGGGGCATTTCCTGCCCAGGAGTGACTGATGTGATCTGCACCAGGGGAAAGGAAGCACCACCAGAACAGTCACTGCTCCTTCTGCAGCACCGTGACTGGGAGGATCTCTAAGTCCTTCTAACATGGTCTGTTTTATCGTCTCATTCCATTCTTATGGCCTTCCAGTACCCTCCCCCACCAAAAAAAAAAAAAAAAAAAACAGAAAAAACCAGCTGCCATCCAGTCAGTGTCAACTCTTGGTGACCTCATGAGTGTCCGAGTAGAACTGTGCTCCACAGAGTTTTCAGTGACTGATTTTTCAGAAATAGAGCACCAGGCCTTTCTTCCAAGGTGCCTCTGGGTGGACTTGAACCACCAACTTCAGTTAGCAGCTGAGCTTGTTAAGCATTTGCACCACTCAGGGACTCCTATGACCTTACAGCTCATCTGAAATAGAGAAAGCACAGGCCACCTCCGGGTTCCTCTGTGGATGTTGATCATGTTGATGACGATATTGATAACTAATGTGGATTTTCTAAGTACTAGTGTCTTTTTAACCTTAATTTAACCTCCAGAAAGCCCTGTGAGATAAATACCATTTTCATCCTCATCTTACGCATAAAGAAACTGAGGCATAAGGAGTTTAACTAGCTTGCTCAGAGGGACACAATCAGTAACTGACAGAGATGCTGCAGACCCAGGTTCATCCAATCTCAGAGTCTGGCTCTCAGTCACTATGCTGCAGACCACTTCCCTGCTCAAAACCCTTTAATGGTTTCCCCAGTGCCCATGGGATAAAGTCCGAACGCATCTCATTCCTGATATACTTTAGCAAAATAACTTTTTAGTTCCTCCTGCACAATGTGCTTTTTATCACTTCCTGGCCTTTGTACAAGCCGTTTCCTGAGCCTTCAGATCCCAAATAAGATGGCATTTTCTACAGGAAGTCTTCCCAGACACCCCTGAGTTTGGGTTAGGTGTTTCTATCCTTTATGTCTTTAACCCCCACCCCCCCACCCTACCCCCCACAACATTTACCATAGTTTATTTTTATTGCCTCTTTAATTCTCTGTCTCACTTAACAAAGTCTGTGCTCACACCATGTCCCCATCACTTGATATATAGGCAGTTACTTGGTAAAAGTTTTAATTAACTAACTAGTTAATTAACATGATTCTATATATGAGACTAAATAATTTCTACTGGCAAGAATTATCACTGTGGTAAGAGTTTAAATATGAAGGTTATTTATAAGTGTGGTCCACGATATTATTCATTTGCTGCTCTAGATGAGATCTCCCGTGACTGAAATATTAAGTAGTATTGTCTGAGGAGACCCTGAACCCTGTGGAGATCTGACCATTTCAAGGAGCGGACCATACAGCAAAATCGTGGAAACCCTCTCCCACAGTCCCGAAAAGAGACGGACAAACAAAAATCCTATCTTTTTAGGCAATTTGCATATAGACTGGAGTGCGCATGTACGAACTCAAGAATTCTTCTCATCTTTTGTGTATGTCTATCCTTGGACATTATTGATATTTTTCCTCTTGAATTTTCTTCTAGAAGTTTTGTAGTTTTAGTTTTAAAAGTCTATGATCCATTTTGAGTTTATGTCTATATGTGACGTGAGGTAAGGGCTGAAGTTTATTTTTTTTCCAAATGGGTTTCCAGTTGTTCCAACACTCTGCTTTCCCCCATTGCATTGCTGGTACCTCAAAAATCAGTTGACCACATATGTCTGGATCTATATCTGGATTTTATTTTTTTCCGTTGGCTTAGATGTCTGTCCGTATGCAAATACCACACTGTCTTGATTACAGTAGCTTTATAGAAAGTTTTGAAAGCACGTCATGTAAATCAGGTAATGTAAATTTTAGACATTCTTTCTTAGAGAAGACTCATCAACTAAGCAAAGCATTGTGATAATTAACCACAACACCACATTATAACAGGTTCTGTGCTTTTAAGATACTCAGTGAATTTCCTGCCTCAGAGCATCTGATCTTTTATCCAGAATCGGGCTGAGAGTAGGGGTTTCTGATCTGATTCAGCCTACTCTCACAATGTATTATGGTAAGAGACTGGGGAGATTCTGGAACACTGGGCTGTACTAGTAGTACTCAGTTTAGGCAATAGTTTCAACTTTATCTCCCATCCCACCTTTTGTAAGAGCTTGTAACAAGGGCCTTATATAAACCTGGAAGAGAAATGACAAAACATTAGCAAGAGGTATTTGTGGGTGTGTATGTGTGGGTGCGTGTATGTGTGTGCTGTCAAGTGGAATCTGACTCATAGTAACCCTGTAGGGTCATAGGGTTTCCAAGGCTGTAATCTTTAATCTTTATAAAGGCTGTAATCTTTATGGAAGCAGACTGCCACATCTTTCTCCTGCAGAGCAGCTGGTGGGTTCAAACTGCAGACCGTTCAGTTAGCAGCCGAGCTTTTATCTACTGTTCTGCCAGGGCTCCTTCAAGAGGTATGTTGTTTTTATTAGGTGTCGTTGAGTTGATTCCGACTCATAGCGACCCTACGTACAACAGAACGAAACACTGCCCGGTCCTGTGTGATCCTTACAATCGTTGCTATGTTTGAGCCCATTGTTGAAGTCACTGTGTCAGTCCATCTCATTGAGGGTCTTCCTCTTTTTCGCTAGCCCTCTACTTTATGAAGCATGATGTCCTTGTCCAGGGCCTGGTCCCTCCTGATAACATGTCCAAAGCATATGAGACAAAGTCTTGCCATCCTCACTTCTAAGGAGCATTCTGGCTGTACTTCTTCCAAGAGAGACTTATTCGTTCCATGGTATATTCGGTATTCTTCACCAGCACCATAATTCAAAGGCATCAATTCTTTTTCAGTCTTCCTTATTCATTGTCCAGCTTTTGCATGCATATGAGGTGATTGAAAACACGATGGCTTGGATCAGGCACACCTTAATGCTTAAAGTGACATCTTTTTTTTTTTTAACACTTTAAAGAGGTCTTATGCAGCAAATTTGCCCAATGCAATGGGTCATTTGATTTCTTGACTGCTACTTCCATTGTCATTGATTGTGGATCCAAGTAAAATGAAATCCTTGACAACTTCCATCTTTTCTCCGATTATCAAGGTGTTGCTTATTGGTCTAGTTGTGAGGATTTTTATTTTCTGTATGTTGCAGTGTAAGCCATACTGAAGGCTGTAGTCTTTGATCTTCATCAGTGAGTGCTTCAGGTCCTGTCAAGAGGTATAGAATGTCCAAATAATCAACAGTTTGTAAAGTTATCTCATATTGAATAGGTAGACATTGATCCAGCATGGAAGACCTTTGATTAAAGGTTTGGAATGTTCATATAGACATGCTCTTAGAGACCTAAAAAAATATAAGTAAAGAGTATATATAGATTAGATGATGTGCTTTATATTTATTCTACACAAATAATACCAGCTTTAAAAACGTAATATTCATAGCTAGTTTCATTTTTGGATGTATAATTTTCTAGAGCCTTTTCAGTCTGGTCTTTGTTTGAAAAAGTACTATTCATCCACCTTGCCTCTGTGTAAGACTGTGCCAGAGGCTACATGGGCACAGCCAGGGTCTTTGGGGAGCCTTAGGATACTGAAGGCAGACAGAGTCTTGGAGAACACTGTTCAGAAAGGGTAAATGAGATCTGAGTGTTCAGAAAGGGTAAATGAGATCTGAAGACTTGCACAAAGTCAGATGACAAGAACTAACATTAAAAGCCAGGCGTAAAAGCCCTCTGTCTATGTTCTTCTCACTTAATTATACTCGCCTGGCCCTGTAGACGTATGGAGTAGTCTTGGTAGGTGCAGCAAGAGATAGAATATTAGCTTAAAACGCATGAAATAGCTGTTTTGGAGATCAAAAAAGATAAATATCAGGGACTTCCTGTGGTTCAATCTATTGTATAAATCCTCAGACAAAAGTAGATAGGCATGAAGCTGCTGTGAGTTTGTATGGGAAATGGACAGGACCCGGTGGTTGCTGGAGAAAAGGTTGGCTTGTGGTTACTCTGTGGTTCCCTGGGTGGTGCAAACAGTTAAGCACTCGACTACTGGCTGAAAGGTTGGCTGTTCAAACCCACGCAGAGGCGCCGCAGAAGACAAGCTTGGTAATCTGCTTCCAAAAGATCACAGCCTTGAAAACCCTATGAAGCGGTTCTCCTCTGCAGATATGGAGTCATTACGAGTAGACATTGACTCCACGGCAAATAACAACCACCACCAGGGTTGCTCCAGGCTTAAGTGTGGTTAGGAGAAGGTAGATGGTAAGAGAACCTTCAGGAGACTTCCTGGGGGAAGCTACAGGGAACGAGGAAGTGGGCTGTGTGTGACTCTGAGGCAGAAGCCAGAACCTGCATTTCAACCCTTAACTCCCAACCACTCAGAAGAGGAAGGACTTTTCAACAGGCAGGGAAGATCATTTTAAGGATGAACTATGTTGTGAGTGCTGAAGTGCAAATAGTTTGTAAACTCGTGTTTGCTAGTAACTTTAGGCTGTATTTTTCCCTTGTTGGGCTAAGGACAAATAGATGTTTTCAACTTCTGACCAAGCTCAGAGACGCATGAAGAAGTGCTTCTATTTGACCACCTACTATTTGACTGTGTCAGAGTCCTGGAGCTCTTGCTAGGTCTGACTGAGGGTAAAAGTGTATATTTAATAAATGCAAGAAAATAAATTTTGAAACCCACTTTTAAAAACTTACATTTTTTAATTGGGTTGTATTTTCTTAGTCTGACCGTGCTAACCAAATCTCTTGAAGTGTGTTATTTTTCTCTCTGTCTTGCCTAGGTGCCATTTTTTTCTCTGTCTCTCTCTCCTTGTGTCTGTCTCTGCGCACTCTCTGTGTCTGTAGCTGTCTCTTTCTTTCTGCTCTGTATGTGTTTTTCTATCCCTCCACTGCCCCCCAACTTAGTCTTTCTCCCTCTCTGGAGTATCCCCAGTTTCTGACTTGGAAGTGAAACCTTCACAGTTGAATTCACATGTGGTGTTTTTTTCCCTTTTTTGTTTGTTCAGTTCCTCCAGGAGTGATCCAGAATGGAGCACGGGTTCTGAGCCGAGGGATGTTTCCCGGCGTCCGGCCGTTGCCAATCACTCCCATTGGAATGACAGCAGCCATGAGGTAAGGGATGCGCTTACTGGGTCAGCCCAGCCTGAGGAGTAAGGAGGGGATCCTCACGTCCCATGGGGCCACTTCAGGGGATGAAGAGGATCAGCCTCTACCTAGTTAAGCCAATAAGAGGAACTCCCAGGGACTCCAATAAAAAAATGTCAGTTTCTCCTTGGGTCATCAAATTATCCGGGTTTCTTGGCAAATGAAGAAATGGAGACAAGTTAAGTTTTTATTCTAAGAAACTAGGTGGAAAAAGTGAGTGGGCTGTTAATTAGTTTCTAGTGAAAGTTGTATGCAAAACTGAGTGTGCAAACTGCTTTGATAAAAGGTATATAAATAACAAGGAGCCGTTGTGGTGCAGTGGTTAAAGCACTTGGCTGCTAACCAAACGGTCAGCGGTTCGAACCCATCAGCCGCTCCACAGGAGAAAGATGTGGCAGTCTGCTTCCGTAAAGATTTACAGCTTTGGAAACCCTGTGGGACAGTTCTAATCTATCCTGTTGAGTCGGAATCAACTCAACGGCAGTGGGTTTGGTTTGGTTTGATATATAAATAATAGGTAGCATCATTCCCCTGAATCTGAGAACCAAATCAGTTACAAAGACACAGGAACTCTTCCTTGGATAAATGTCTTTCATCGATGCTTCTCATTCCAGCTCCAGAGTAGGGTCCACTGCCAGCTTAGAACCCTCACATGCACCAGGGGCAGCTCCTCTCCATTCTTCCTGCTGCTTCTGTCCCCACTCCTGCCCATCCATCAACCACTGCCAGACTAATTTCCTAAAAAGTGCCTTGCCAGCCTCTGTGGAAGCACCTTTCATGGCTCCTACCACATCCCCCAACCTCCCACCCAGTCCTCCTTTCTACTTGGGCTAAGTGTTTGTTTCCTGACTGTGTCCAGTATCTGCCCATCTTGTTTATACAGTTTGCTCTGGGTAGATTCAAGGCAATGCATCCCTCAAGTCTCTTCACAAAGGTGATTTCTTCTGAATGTGCCCTCTGAGCCAGCACCAGATGAATTATGCTTTCCTGTGAACCCATAACTGCCATGCTTTGTTGTGGTCCTTGGATGAGTTGACCCTGTGTCGTAGTAATTTCTAGGTGTCCCTCTCTGTCCTCAGTGGTGAGCTCGCCGAGCACAGGGGCTGGGATTCACCCAGTTTGTTGATGCCTCATTGCATGTTGCACAGTGCTGGGCTCAGGCTGCTGCCTTAGAAAAGACCTGTTAGACTGAGCTGCATCTCTTACAGCAACATCTTCTGCCTTTTTTCTGTGCCTGTGGGTCAAGTTCATACCTGAAGACCATTTTGCTTTCACAGTGTCTCATGTCCCAAATGAAACCAATCCAGAAAGTCTGTTTAGCCAGGGCCTGAGGGAGATGCAAAGTTGAGCTCCCTCATGTGAATCAGCCACATAGACTTTTTCCAACCATGGGGAGTTTCTCTTGTCTTTTAAACCCTACCAGTGACCCAACGTACTTTTGGTGTCTGGGACCTGATAAGGAGGGAAGGAGGGATAGATTAGATGGATGGGTGGATGGGTGGATGGATGGATGGATGGGATGGATGGATACGTCATTGGGTCAACTCTGACTTTTGGCGACCTTATGTACAACAGAATGCGACTTTGCCTGGTCCTGCATCGTCCTCACGATAGCCAGAGTGTTCAAGTCCATCACTGCAGCTATTATGCCGGTCCATCTCACCAAATGTCTTCCTCACCCTTGCTGGCCCTCTACTTCACTAAACATGATGTCCTCCTCTATAAATTGATCCCTCCTAATAACGTGTCCAAAGCAAATCAAGTCAGATAGTATTCTGTTGTGATCCCTAAGGTTTTCATTGACTGATTTTTGGAAGTAGATCACCAGGTCTTCCTTCTTAGTCTGTCTGAATCTGGAAGCTCTGCTGAAACCTGTCTACCATAGGTGATCCTGACGATATTTGAAATACTGGTGGCATAGCTTCCAGCATCATAGCAACATGCAAGCCACCACAGTATGACAAGCTAACAGACAGACAGATGGTGAATTAGGAGGAAGATTGATAGAAATTAGGATAGTGATTGAGTTGTAACTAACCTGACACAGTGAAGCTTTCCAAAAACTTATGGGAAGGATCCTTTTCTTGTAAGTCTCCAGTATGTTTCTTGGTTACCGTTAGATCTATAATTCTTTTTGAGTTCATAAATGGTAAACCTATTTTATGAAGCTAAAACATCAGTGCCTTTGCTTGACATTGTGAAAGCGACATAGTGTGGTTTCCATTCTTTTCTTAAAATCTTTCCCATCTCACCTCCAGTTTACCTTTTTGCTTGTGAAGAATTTGAGGCTATTTTGGTATGGAGTAACTATTTTTCATTAGTGGATACTAAGTATAGGCTTCTGTTTTCTCATATTGACCACTCTTCTAGTGCTTTCAAGCATAGCTTTCAATGCGGTTCCAGCCATCCCTTGTAAGGGCACAGAAGGTCCAGGCAGAGGGGGAAGGGAAACCTAAGGCCAGGTTGGCCTTCAGCAGGAGCTGCCCTAATTAGTTTGTTATCCTCATGTCATAGCTTATCACAAATTTTACTGATTAGTACCCTCTAGAGGCATAATTTGAGGAGCCCTGGTGGTGCAGTGGTTAAAGCCCTCAGCCACTAACCAAAAGGTTAGCAGTTCAAACCCACCAGCCACTCCATGGGAGAAAGATGTAGCAGTCTCCTCCTGCAAAGATTACAGCCTTGGAAACCCTATGGGGTCAGTTCTACTCTGTCCTATAGGGTTGCTATGAGTCAGATTCAACTCAATGGCAACGAGTTTAGAGGCATTATTTACAACATTGATTTTTTTTTTTTTTCCTGTTCCAATTAGAAGATAACAAAGCACTGCAGCAAAACAGTGAAGTCTTGTTTCTTTTCAGAAAGTTTCCTCTCATCTCATCCAGTAAGCATCTCAATTTGGCCACCTCCAAAGTAAAAGACCACAGAACAGTTTCCAGGGCTAGACTTGTGTATCATTCAGATCCAGTCAGGAGACAGAAACCACGCCAGGTACTAGAACAGAGAGAATTTAATATGAAGAATTGTGAAACCCGGTAGGAAGTTGTTCACCAGAAAACTGAAAGGGTAAAAAGAGAACTTAAGGTATCATGGAGATAGCAGTTACAGGAAGCAGCTACCACCTCTTGGGTTGAGGAAACAAAGGGAAGAGGTGGGAATTATTGCCCCAGGGACTCAGACCTCTGAGTCTTGGAGCCCAAATGAGGGACCTGTGGGGCTGGCATCCAGACCTCTGAGGAGGGGGCTCCAGCAAATGCTGGTACCTCTGAGAGAACATGAAGACGTAGGTTTTGTAAGTGTTATAAAAACAACTGACTGGGTTCAGCGGCTGCTATAGGAAGATACCGCCACTACTGGGGTGACCCAGGAACCAGAACACACAGGAAGGAGCATGTCCCTTCTTCCTCCATCAACTTCACGGTCTCTGTGTGGCTCCCCCTGTTGGCAGAACCTAACATGACATATATAGCTTTGCCATAACAGATGGCAAAGCAGAAATATGACTTTGCAGCGTCCCAGCCCAAGCATATAAAACAGTATGGAAGGGCCGGGTTTGGGGGTGAGAGACAATAGGTTGATAATGACACAACTTGCTTATAGTCTGTCCACTATAAACGCCTGCATAGTCTAACAAGAATGACCTTCCTGACCATCATAGCAGTGTGGAGCAGGAGCATTTCAGTAAAATGTACAAGTGCAGTTTGGAGGAACTAGACAATTTACTGTTTGCGTAAATAGAGATGACCAATGAAGAAAGCCGTTGTGCATTGTCAGTAGATCATCCAGATACCAGTTCTGGGTCTTCCATCCCCATTTCAAGGGAAATTAGGAGAAGGGGTAGTAAGCTCTTTAGGGTTAAAGATCCTTGCTTCTAATCTCTTGGCCTCTTTATGTCCCCAGTGCCCTGCAAATAGTAGACTCTCAGATGCTTTCAGAATTAAAGCGCATATACATAGTAACATAGGCATTTGCAAAATCAGTGTCTGGGTAAAACCCATTCAGAGGTGTTTGGGAAAAAAATCTTGTTTCGCACTTTCACACTGATTATAATCATTATTTTTGATTTGACCTTGTGTCAGTTGAACCTAAATTCAGCTGAAGTGGAAAGGAAAACAGTCCAACAGAGACTAGAACAACCCCGCATGTTGTCTTCCAGGCATCGTGGCAGTGACCTAGGCTTCTGCGGGTATGCAAATGTTTATGGGGGTTGCTGCCTGGCTGAGGGAGGGCAGGGAGAGTCATTAGCACCCACTAAAGACCAATTTCCTATTCCGCTTTGTGTGCCGGGTTTTCTATGTGACTCTAGCAACTTCTCCTTAAGTGAAAATATTTGTCTTTCAGGGATTTTTTTTTTCCTCCCCTCACTGCATGGCAAAGGCCATGTTTGTTTGTCTTAACTCTGAAACTGTTATTGACATAGATGAAGTGTTACTTTTATTAGCTGATCATTACACAGTGTGTATTTGCTGGGTTCCTTTGCATATAATTATGATGTGAAATCTCCTTGTAAGAGTATCTGTCAATAGTATAATTGACTTTACGGTGTTGACTTTGTACTCAGTAACCTCAGAGATTGGCCCATCCTTAGACAGTGGAAGCCTGGTTATTTTTAAATTTGCCTGAGTGTACCATCCTCAAGACACATTATCCTCCAAATAACAGCTCGCACGTCTTAAAGTTTTATGCCTGTGTTTTCTGCTGCTTTCCCAGGGAAATTTGTTGCAGATTACATTGAATGGAACAAAGGGTTACGGCCCTGGAAGAGCTGTTTCTGGCCCTCTTGGGAAATAGGAACCTCAGGTTTCTTACCTTTATGGGCTGCTTCCCAGGTAGAGGCCTGAGTCTGGGCCACCTTTGGTTTCAATTCTCTAGGATTTTTTTTTTTAAACCATCACTTCTTTTTATTTCTAAAACTTTGTCATCATCCCAAACAGAAACTCAGTACCTTAGGGCTCTTTTTGACCCAG